ACATTTTAATCTAATCTTACCTATAATGTTAGGGCAAACTTCTCCTGTCCAATTTCAGCAAGTTTAATCACTTGGTAAAGTTTATCAGTAAAGCTCAATGCTTTTAGATTATCAACCCCGTCTCTAACATCTCCGATGAAGACGCCATATTTTACGATCAACAAAGTGGTAAATCGTATAGCGCCAGAAGCGATTCCATTCAGGTATTTACTTTAAAGTCTAAGGGGCCCGAATTTGGAGAATTTATAACCTTATTAGGTTTTGAGTAAGTTCTCTTACAGTTTCCAATTGTCTTCAACTCGAATGTAGTGTCCATGCAATACACACGATCGTATGGTCCACCTAAACTCATAGTTTTGGTCCTGTTCCTTGACGGTAAATAATGTTTTATTAATTTTTGGCAAAATCAACCTCTTAAATCACTTCGTTTTCTTTTCCTGTCCCTTTCATGAAGCCTATTCTTACATCTAAAAATATTTAGCCCAAGAATACCTCGATCGCTTTGTTCATTTATACCAGTCAGTGGTTGAAGATAATCAATATGGTATATCTTCGGTGCACTACAGTAATCTATCCTACTCTGATGGAACAATCACAAACAGATGGAGCAACGAGAAGCTATGGTTTCAGAAGGTGCATATAACTCTGTTGACAAATAAGAAGGCTTGGACAAGCCCATTTAATTTTGTGCCCACGCAAAATTGCACAATTTTTAGGTGAACTTTACTCGAAATTCCGAAGCTGTTATATGGATTCATTCTCCTCAGCATGCTGTGCTACCAAATACTCCTATATCAGAGGTTTGTGGTTTGCGTATTTTAGGAAATTCGTAATATTGGGTCCCGTCTCGAAACAATAAGCGATGTTTTTAGATACATTATCACCTCGACAACTGTTCTATAGCTGATAATCGTGGACCTGTAATTGAAACACATAGGGATCTTTTCGCATCTGCAAATGTTTTTCATTGGAATATCTGGTAATCTCCTGCTTCTCACATTTCACGACAGTAAAATCGATTACTTATT